GAGCAAAGGGCAAGGGTTAGCAAGGTCCTCTCCACCCAGTATTGCATCTCCTCCCCCGCTGCTCAGGGGCTGCTGTCCCTTGATTTGCTGATTCCCTTGGAGTGTGTTGGCCTTCCTGACATGCAACAGCTCCCTTGCCCCTTCTGGAGGCATCTCTGGTGTAAAAGCAAATACTTCCAACCCCACATTCGAAAGTTGGGGCCCATGCCACCAAACCCTAAAGCCATCTAAGTAAGCTCCTTGGCAGCCGGGGTAATAATTCCGAGTTCACTTGGGATCTTAGCTGTGAATCTGAGTCTTCCGGCTCCTTCCTATGCTCTTTCTTATTTGCATATTTATGCAGCTAAACATCCCAAATCACTTCTTTCCTTCCTGCAACTGCTTGGGCACCGTCATTGCTGAGATCACTCATTTATCTTGTCATTTTTCTCCTTCTTTTTCTATATTCAGGTAAACTCTGTACCAACCCACTGACCCCTCCCCTCTCTGTGGTTCCCTTCCAATCCCAATAGTGACAGTGAAGCAAAGGGAACCCACAATATTATTGATCGTTTATCTTGACCAGGACCTGAGTTAGGAGATAATTCAAGAGGTTTGCATGTTGTCCAGAAGCTTGTAGGTTGAAATTAGAATATAACCACTTTCCATAAGATGCAAAGTCTTCCCTTCAAGTTCAAATCCTTCCAAACACCACCTCGGACCTTTCCTCTGAGACAGAGTGGGTCAACCACTTTCAGAATGTGCTGGGCTTCTATTGATTACTTACTTCCTTCATATGTGGCTTTTTTCTTATTAAAAGGTTTTGGTCATGACTGGGGTCCCATTGCTAGAACAACTGGGGCTGATGTGTCAGCCCCTCAACCTTTCTCAAGAACTTCAGTGGTCTTGATCAAATACCAACTATGGGACTTCCCTGGCGGTCCAATGGTTAGGACTACTTGCTCCCGATGCAAGGGGCACAGGTTCGATCCCTGGTCATGGAACTAAGATCCTGCATGCAGCGCGGCGTGGCAAAAAAAAAAAAAAAAAAAAAAAAAAGATCCCAGCTACAATCTTGACTCACCTCATCTTTGGTGACAAAATTGTGAAATGTTCTACAGTTTTCCCCTAATTTTTTCCTTTAAATGAAATCTCATTTACCAAAACCCATTTTTATAATTTTTAAACTTCTTTTCTTGTCTAACACTTTCTTCTTCCAAAATGATACATTTCCCTTTGATCAAAATTGTCCTTTTACATCCTCCCACCCCCACTTACATGCCTTTTAAATTTTTTAATTTCTTTATAAAATTGAGGCCACTAAACATTTTTCTATCTGTCCTTCTTGCTTTAACTCTGTTTCCCCTTAGTTTACTACTACATTGTGATACTAAAAATGATAATGATATCCTGTTATGATAACCTGTCACAGACATTTGTGTTTGTCCTGAGAGATTTTATTTTCAAACACAAACACCTAGAGTTAAAAAAAAAAAAAAGGATAACCATAGAAAGTTTAAGTGCAAACATACCCTTTTATATATGGGTTTAAATGTGCCATGCCTACAGTTCCAGTTTTGCAGGGTTGAGTGTGTGGCCACCATAGAGACTGCCCACCTCCCCAGTTCGCCAATTCTTGGTCGTGACATTGTAGGGGAAAAGGTCTGTTTTTGAGGCCTCTGCCTGCACACTACACTCAAAGAAGTCTGGGTCTTCTTTGATGACAGGACAGGATTAAGTGTGGAAAGGTTTCAACTATGATTAAAAAAATGGAGTGTCAACCAGGAAAGTCTGGGAGAGGTCACACAGCTCTGCAAGTGAAGGAGAGACCAGGGAGGGGTGGTGGTGAACGCATCCTAGAGAGACACAGGTGTGTCTAAGAAAATTTGGCAAGGCCCCCAGGGAGGAGTCCATCAGAAGAGTCCTGTGTCCCCCAGGAACCCAGCCCACCATGAATACCTGCCCGTGCTGAGCTGTTGGCTAGGAGCAGCCGTGAGGGATGCGGGTTGTGGCTTCTGTGCAAACATTGCCTTAGACTTCAGGGCACAGCACTTCCTGGAGTTGGAGTTTCTTAAGGAGCCTCCATAGTGCCTGCACCAATTTACATTCCCACCAACAGTGTAAGAGGGTTCCCTTCTCTCCACACCCTCTCCAGCATTTATTGCTTGTGGATTTTTTGGTGATGGAGGTGATACCTCATTGCAGTTGTGATTTGCATTTCTCTAATAATTAGCGGTGTTGAGCACCTTTTCAGGTGCCTCTTGGCCATGTGTATGTCTTCTTTGGAGAAATGTCTATTTAGGTCTAGAAAGTTTCTTTTCTAAGTGCCAGATCAATCTTCTTGCTATAGTTCACTTCTGGGCCAGTTTCCTATTAGCTCAGAGAAAACATCTCTCTCCGTTATGTTCACTGGTTATAACAATTCCCTGCAGAAAGTAGGGTTTTCTTAAAGATTTTTGGAATAAATATTGCAGCATGTAAAGAAAAAATAAAACTAAATACAATAAAATAAAATCCAGGGTGACTTTTTTAGCTGCTCATGAAAATGCGTGGGCACCGATATCCCGAAAAGTAAGTGGGAGTGTAGGGGGGCAAACATACCTGATAAGCCCATGTCAGTAATAAGATCATTCCCCACCCTCCAGAGCAGAAATTTGATTATCAGTTGCACAAAGGAAATACCAGTGCAGTAATGAACAAGGAGCAGGCTATATATATATATATATATATATAATTTTTTTTTTTTGCGATACGCGGGCCTCCCACTGTTGTGGCCTCTCACTGTTGTGGCCTCTCCCGTTGTGGAGCACAGGCTCTGGATGCGCAGGCTCAGCAGCCATGGCTCACGGGCCCAGCCGCTCCGCGGCATGTGGGATCTTCCCGGACCGGGGCACGAACCCGCGTCCCCTGCATCGGCAGGCGGACCCTCAACCACTGCGCCACCGGGGAAGCCCAGCAGGCCGTATTTTACAATCGCTGCTTAAGTGGGCAGTAGACGTTCTTAGCTGTTGGCTGGTATGCTAATTAAACAGTTACTGAGGCCGCTGTGCCCAGTGTAGAAAGTGCCAGAGCAGTTACACGGGCTCTGTGATAAGGGCTCGAACAGAACTGAAGTTGTGAGTCTCCCTCCTGGTCTGAAAGCCTGCATTGTGCAGAGCACTGTCGCTGTACAGCCCATGGCGCTCAGTCAGGAGGGAACTCCTCTCCCTGGGAACCATTCCGAGAACCTGGCAGAGAGGAGCCGTGGTTGGAACCAAAAGCTGAGACGTGTACGTCAGCTCAAGCCCTGCCTGGCTGGCCTAGGTGGAGTACTGACCCCACCAAGCCCCTCTGCACACACCCAAAGTATCTTCCTTTCACCCTCAAACTAAAGTCAGCCTGCAACCTGCTTTTGTTGCTGTTTTAATTTAAAATTTGAGCCAAGAGTTTAAAATGGGAAGATTTTTCAAAAAATCCAGACTTCCAACAAATTTTTTAAGATCTGGATTGTGGGATTCCTTCCCCAAGGCCTGGGGCTGAGTGACAGCTGTCCTTCCCACTGTGACCTGGGGCTCTCAAGTTCTCCACAGTCTCCACCAATCCTTATTGTTTCCCAGCACTGGACCACTTCCCTTGTTTAAATCATCTGCCTGACTCCTGGAGAGATCTGGGTTTGCAGTCTTGAGTCTTAAGAAGGACTCCTGTTTTCTCTGTCCTGGACAAGTACAGTCAGTCTAAACCTTACTGGGCTCTGGGCCTCCCATCTCAGCCCTTCCAAGTCATTCTTCATGGTTTCCTTTAATCCACTCAGCAAACAGTACGCCAAATGAGGTGCTAGGCTTTGGAACTATGATGAGGTTCCTGCCCTCAGGTGTTCCAAGTCTAATGCCAGAGACCCACAAGTAAGGAGACCCTGAGAATCAGCATGAATAGTACCATGGTAGAGGTCACCAGAAGGTGGGAGTGGGCATGAGAGCTCAGAGGGCAGGCAACTAGCCAGAGTCTTCCAACATGGAGGGAGGGAGAGAGGAAAGACTTCCACATGGTATTGTTAAAGCTAAGCTTAAACGGTGAGTAGCTGAGCCAGGCTGAGTCATGGACAAAGTACTCCGGCAGAGGACATGGCCTGTGCAAAGGCCCAGGAGTCAGGGCACACTCATGGAACTGAGAGCAATTCAGGATGGTTGGAGTGTGGCATCCAAGAGGGATTGATCCCAGCTGTCCCAGCTCACTGCAGTCCCCCAGATATCAACCAGGGGTACAAAATGCACAGGACAGCCACAACAGAAAATTATCCAGCCCGAATATCAATAGTCTTAGGCCGTGAAACCTGCTCTAAGCCAAACAGAGCCAACTGGGGGCATCTTCCTGAATAAATTTAATCTAACCTGCTTCTTTGAAGGCCAACCCTTTGTGGCTTTCAGATTTGCAGGTTTCCAAACAATGTCAAACTTATGGGCCTGACTAAATTGACCACTTTGTGAAGAAAGACAAAAATCTTTCAACATTTCAGGCTACTCACATGCTGCATATAACCAGAGGGGAAAGCAATGTGAGCATGGACAAGTCTGTAAGCCCGCTGAGCCTCTAGGGAGCTGGTCCCTGGTTGAACTAAGATTCCAATTCCCATCCATTTGTCCCCATTGCCCATCCTCCCACCTTGATGAAACACTAACTAAAGTTGGTGGTAATATTTGGGTACTGTAGAAATCATCATTTTTTCCCCAAGCAACATTTCTCAACGTGCAGTTTCTAGGCCATCAACTTTAAAACCAGCTGGGGAGCTTGTTAAAAATATCTATTTCTGAGCCTTACTCCAGACCTGCTGGATCAGACTTGAGTGAGGGCACAAGGATGGCACCTTCTACTGAGCCTGCATCCCAGGTGGGTTTGATGCTGACAGTCTGGGGGAAACCCCTGTCCTCAGTTATAAACTACTCGGAGTTTGGGGTCCTTTCCACATCTGTTTTTATTTCCACCAATCCTTCATCTCAAGTAACTCCAAACAAACATGCAATATAAGTTAAAATTGTATGCTTCATATGCAACAACAGCTTCAAGGTAAGTCCCCAAATCTCCCCATCTTAAACCAGAAAGTCACTCCCTTAAGGCCAACTAATATAAAACACTGGGTTACCCAGCCACTCCTTTATTTTCTTCAAGAGGTGACCACAGAGATCTGGCACATAGCAGGTACCAGAAAAACATGTCTAGAATTGAATTTATGTGCATCCTCATTGCTATCCCGGCCACCACTTCCCAGCTGTAGCCCAGCACTTGGGCAGCGGCAGTGTTGGTGCTAACCCTGCTCTCCTCCTCGATTATAGCGGCCCACCCTCTGGACACCCCACATCTTCCATGGGAGCTGCCTCCAGGACTCTCAGAAAATATCAGTAAGCATCCTTTGATTTTTTTCTTAGGAGACCTAGCTGGATAGAAAGCTGTCTAGGATATCGGCAGAGAAATCGATCCCTTCTGAATAAACCCTAGAGCCATTTACTGCTGTGGCATTTGTGGGTAAAGTGATTTGAGGAAGACTCAAAAGCCTCTCTCTCACAGTTTACTCTGGTGTCTGACCCACTGTTGGTCTCTCCTTTGAGATAAGGCACTAAAAACTCTCATCAAAGACACAGGTCAGCTGAAAGGGGAAACTAGAAGAGGGAAGTAAATGGGCTGATGAATGAGGGTTATGTAGTGACTGCATTAAAAGGCAGGACGAAAAGAAAAATATGATGTATTGCAGTCCTCTGGTTATTAGAAGGGAGGGATCTGTAATTGTTCCTTGGGGAACGGAAGGTTTTCCTGGTGATGGATTGTAAATATTTCTCAGGGTTCTTATACAGGCATCGCTGAAGAATAGAATACATCGTGAACTAGCTGGTGAGGTTAACCCTGAGTTAAGGGTTCGTTTCTGACCTTGCAGAGAGGTGAGCTGAGTCAGCCGAACTATTTGTGCGGGAACCCACGCAAGCTAAGTGATCAGTCCCATCCAGACATGAATGTTAGTGGCCTCTCTCCAAATGGCATCACCCCCATGGAAAGTGCAATGCCCGCTAGGAGGTCTTCTTCAGGTAGATATTTAGACTCACAGGCCACACTTGGCTTTTAGAAGGATCAGGGCCAGGAAGCACTGTGTGCCAGCAGGCCATGCCAGCCATTCTTCTTTATCGAGATAACCCCTGGCAGCAACCTACACAGTAGTCCAGGATCCCCTAGGTAACAACTCAGGTACAAGGGAACGGGGCTCACGTGCAGCAGCCCCAGGACCCGCCCTGGCCTAGAATCTTCACTCTCCATAGGAGTCAGTACCCTTAGTAACCACCGCATAGGTATAATTTCTAGGATGCCAGAATGGATGTGCCCAACTGAATGAGTCGTCACGCTGATGGAGATCCAAAAATGATGACTTCCCACCAGGTGTTTGTAGTTCATCCGATACACCTCACCATCCACGGGCCTTTTTTTTTTTTTTTTTTTTACCACGGAGCATTGTTGTCTAGCAACACAGTTCACGGTTTTTATCTTATCAGGTTTCCATGGTAACCTGTGTTACTAGAAAGTTAGCCCAAGGTCAAATCTATCTTTAGAGAAGGGGTTTTACTCACTCTTCCCACAGGGGGTGGACAGGGAAGGGAAAGGGGTAGACCTCAAGCCTCTCTAATTTATTTTCTCTTCCTTCCACTTAGATATGACTTTCCTCAACGGGGTGTTTAAAAATGTGGGAGGAGTGGCCGAAATATTTGGTAAGTTAAATCTGAACTTGCCTTTTATTCCCCCAGGTGTCAGGGCATGGGGTGTGTGTGGGAAATCTAAGGAAATTACCAGGGCCTTGGGCTCTGCCCTCTGAGCTCCCACAGCCTCGTCAGCAAGCTCCCAACAAGGTGACCCAGGTCCTGATGAGAGCAGTGGTGCCCTTTAGCACACGGTGAGTCACTGAGTTGCAAGGTGGCTTCGTTGTCCTTCCTTCATTCATCCTGACCTCAACCTGGCCAGGAGGGGAATGGCATCCCTACTTTACAGGCAAGAAAACTAAGCCAAAGGAGTTAGGGACTTGCCCAAAGCCACACAGCCAGAAGGGACAAGGTCTCCTCTGAGTCCAGAGCTTGGTCCCCTTCCACAAAAGTGGTTTTATTTTTCCTTCTCAACTACTGAATATACATAAAGTTTAAGAAGCATTCCACTGATCAGTTATATATCTATTATTTGACTGTTAATCGCACGGCATTACTATGATTCCCATCACTGATGACTAAAAGTACCCAAAATAAGATTATAGTAAGATGGACATGAGCAAGGTGACTCTGAACTGCTACGGGATTAGACAATGCTGCGCGTAAAACTGCACTTAAAATGTATGTATGACTAAGTGCAGGTGCCCTGGAAGCTCTTGAATGAAAATGCATGTTTCTATACACACATACACATAAACCTTAGGGTGGCTTTTTCCATCAGCGTAGAACCATGTATTCATGTTTCTGATAAGGCTGTGTGGAAACAAAAGGTGGGAAGGGAAGTTTGAATGAGGTAGGAAGAAACTAGAAGAGCAGCGAACAGTCGAGGTGGACGTGGTCCTCACAAACAACTTTGGATCTCCCCAAGCTCCCCACGATGACCCTGTGTGTTTAAATCGGTGCTATGGGGTCACCTCATTAAGCACCTGACGATCATCCAATCAGAAAGGCAGAGAGCAGAGAGGGCGACCATGAGTTGTGGAATCAAAAAGGTGGATACTGTTTTCTTGCCAATTTTGTGTGCAAGAGCATTTTTGTTTAGGATGAGTCATTGTTGCTGGTGGATACCTCGGGCATGTCTCTGACCTTCTAACCCATGAAAGGGAGGTGACAGAATAGCATCTGCCTTACAGGATTAACAAGAAGTTTATGGGGGGGAATTCCCTGGTGGTCCAGTGGTTAGGACTCCGAGCTTTCACTGCCAAGGGCGCGAGTTCAATCCCTGGTCAGGGAACTAAGATCTGGCATGGCCCATGATGCTGCCAAAAACAAGCAAAGCAAACAAGCAAACAAACAAACAAAAAACCCAAGAAGTTTATGGGATCACAGACCAAATGAAAGCTTTATAAAGCATTACTCACTCCATCAGTTTTAACTATTGTGCTATTTAAAGTACTAACACACCATTGTAAAGCAATTATGCTTCAATAAAGATGTTAAAAATAAAATAAAAAATAAAATAAAATAAAGCACTTAACACAGTCTCTGGCACATAGCAGGTGCCCTCAAATGATTAGTGTCTGTACCCCTTCTCTTCCTGCACTGATTTATACTTCTTTATTGCCAGGACTGTATCATTAGGGATCCATTCAGCAAACTAATCGTGACTTAAATAATAAAGACATTTCATGATCTCACATAAGCCATCTGAAGGCACCAGCATTGGTGCAGTAGCTCAACACAGGTATCAGAGACCCAGCAGGTTTGTTCTATATTACCCCACTGCTACCCTGGACATAATAGTTTTTCAGCTTTAGGCTTGGGGCCTCATGGCTGCAAGGTGGTTGCTGCAATTCCAGCCAACATATCCTCCCCATATTCAAGGAAGGAGAAAGGTGTAGCTCAGAAGGACCCTCTTACATGCCTTTATGCTTTATTAAGAAAGAAATATTTCCCAAAAGCTTCTAACAGTCTCACCCTTAGGGTTTTGGGGTCATATTTGGGGTTCATGCTCAGCCCTAGACTAGCCCTTGTCCTGGAAGCATGGGAACCATGATGAGCCGAGAATGACTATTAAACATTCCCAGGGACTTGGGGAGGAGATTACCTTCCTTGAGTGCTTTTCAGTTTTGTTGGTAAGGAAGAGGGATGAATGGCTGTCAGGTGGGCAACCAACAGGGACCACGGCTAGTAAACCTGCTTCCCTTCAATTGTCTAGAATTGTCCTAAGTACACAGTAGGCGCTTAGTAGGTGATAAGGCACCATCCACCCGAGAAGGGGGCTCCCTCCTCAACTCTGGCTCCTGGTGCGACCTCCTCCCCTCCCCAGACTGCCTGGGCTCTCACTTCACCTGGCTGCAGGATGTCTTCACCAACTTCCCCGCACTGCTCCAGTTCGTGAATGGTATGAAGTGTGTGGCTGGTCTCTGCCCCCGGGACTTCGAAGACTACGGCTGTGCCTGCAGGTTTGAGATGGAAGGGCTGCCTGTGGACGAGTCTGACAGGTGAGCACGACCAAAACGTGAGCTCGTGGAGGCCCGGCTGAGGCTTGGGCGGAGCACAGATGTGGAAAACTCCCTTGGCTTCGTTTGTGTCTGCAGGTGTATGTGGGTGTGTGCAATAAAATTTAAAATCTTAGAAGCATCCGGGGTTAGCAAGGATGTGGCAAGTAGCTACTGGTAGCAGGAGGGTCAATTAGGACAAGTTGGTGGTATCTGTTAGAGTTTTATGCCTATCACCTATAACCCAGTACCTCCAATTCTCTGTTCCTAAGGGACTCTGTGATGTTAGGCACGTTCTTTTACTTCTTTGTGTTCCATTTATTCATCTATTAAATGGCGGTAATAATAACACCTACCTCCTAGAGTTATTGTTTAGGATTACATGAGCAAATACAAGTTAAAGTGATTGGGATTTGCCTGGCTTATTAGGTCTGCAAGAGTATTTGCGATTGATAACAATATTAGTAGGGCTGTAGTAGTAGTAGTGATAGTAGTAATAGTATTGTGGGAGTCATAGTCAGGCTGTAATAGCAGTAGTAATAGTAACAACATTAGTACTAACAATTGTCTAGGTAGCTATAGTAGTATTAATAGTAATAGTGGTAATAACAGTAGTGACAGCAGCAGCAGCAGTACTAGTAAACTGGTGGTGGTGGCGGTAGTAGTAGTAGTAACAGTAGTAGTAGACTAGTTGTAGCTGTAGTAATAGTAATAGTAACAATAGTAGTAATAGCATCAGTACTAATAAAACTGTAATGGTGGTGGCGGTAGTAGTAGTAGTAACAGTAGTAGTAGACTAGTTGTAGCTGTAGTAATAGTAATAGTAACAATAGTAGTAATAGCATCAGTACTAATAAAACTGTAATGGTGGTGGCGGTAGTAGTAGTAGTAACAGTAGTAGTAGACTAGTTGTAGCTGTAGTAATAGTAACAATAGTAGTAATAGCATCAGCACTAATAAAACTGTAATGTGGTGTTGGTAGTAAGTAGTAGTAGTAGCAGTAGGAGTAGTAGAAGTAGTAGTCGTAATAGTGGTAATTGGAGCTATAGTAACTGCAGCAGCAACAGGAGTGTGGAACCAGGAAATTGAACCCACATCTCACCCCTACTCCAGGACCATGTCTACACCTCACTGGTATTATATTTGTGCCCAAATCCAGTGTGATAAAGTGTGTGCTTTCATCTACGCAGACTCCCAGGAGCTAGGGAAGGATTCCCATTGGTGTAAGCTGTTTCTGCACCAAAAGGACAGTGTGTCGTTTCTGGGACCATAAGCCAGCCCGCTGACATTCAGAAAGGGGGAGGCTGAATCTGTTCGGGGCACAGTGCCAGAACCATTCCTGGGAATGTGTTTTCCTTTCAGGTCCTCCCTTACCATTTCCTTTAGTTATTAAAACACCCACAAACCTAGAAGTCAAAGAAATGAAGCAGTAATTCATCCCTGTCTGAATGATCAAAGCGTTGATGGCCAGAACTGGCAGAATGGTGGGCCTACCCCATTTCAATTACTTTACACGTTGCAGGTGATGGAGGTGGGAATTTCCAGACTCCTGGAGGATTATTTCCACCTCGAACTTGCACGCCAGATTCCAAAAACAATTGCCATAGTTTATTGAGTGTCAACCACATGACAGGGTCTTTATAGACATTCTCTTGACTCCCCCGAATTCTTATGAGGTGGGTAATGTGAGAAACTTAGTAGCTTGCCCATACAGCTGCCTGTATGTCTTCTCCTTTACACTGGTTTTCACTGCTTGCTGCATGCACTGCGAGCGCCACCTGACTCCCTTGTTTAGTGTCAGCCTCTCTCTGTGATCAACCTTGACCTTGGCAAGTTACAGAGCTTTATGTGTCTCACTTTCCACATATGTAAATGCTCATAAGAATAATAGCACCTGCTGCATAGGTAATACAATTCAAATTCAAATATCGTGTGTGTGTGTGGGTGTGTGTGTGGGGGGGGGTGTGTGTACCCTAAGTATTTGGAACAGGCCACTGCCAGAAACCAACCAGAGACACAGAGTGATCATGTGCTGTCTGCCCCTCTTCTGACCCTAACCCACACTCTCACCCTGACCCTTCCCCATCGTGCCACAGCTGCTGCTTCCAGCATCGCAGGTGTTACGAGCAGGCTGCTGAGATCGACTGTCTGCAAGACCCCGCCAAGCTTAGCACAGATGTCAACTGTGTCAGCAAGAGTATCACCTGTGGTGAGCATCTCCAGGTGTCCCAGGAGGCTGGGCTGAGAAATGACAGTTCAGAGATTGCAGGCCCAGGCTCCCAGGGTCCACCCTCACCATCATCTCCATTGGCAACATCGCTGTGTATACCTGGAGCCCTACAAGGGCCAGATCTATGGCATCTGTACCTTGCATGGAGTAGAGGCACAACAAATTCTTTTTGAATTGAAACAATAGCTGCTCAGCAGATTATCTGATCTACAATTTTATGCTTGTACCAAGCCTGGCCGCTTGAGAAGAGCAAATAGCTTACTACTTATGCATTGTATGATTTAGGGGGAATACCCTGACCTTCTACTTAACAACTGGGAACCTCAAAATGGGGAGGAGAAAACCTGCTTCAGAGATTTGTTATAAAAATTAAGTAATGCTTACATGTAAAACAATGTTACATTTTAAAAATGTAAACAATGTTAAGTGTAAAACAGTTAATATGGTGACTGGTATCTGTTGAGAACTCAGTGACAGAAGTTGAGTCCACGAGGGATGAATAAGGCTGGTGTGGTTGTAGGAATCAGGCACACACGTCGGGTCAAATCTCAGCCCTCCACGTTACTAGCTGGGTGACTCCAGGAATTTTATTTCATGTCTCTGGACAATCCCGGCAGAAGAAGTAGAATAGGCAAAGGCATTGAGGGAAGAGGACCATGGCAAGCTGGGGTAGTATATTAGGGCACCGTCTCTGAGTGCCTGTTACGTGCCATGGATGTTATACACAGCAACTCTGATCGTCCGAACAACCCTATTAGATGGGGGTCATTATCCCCAGTTTTCAGATAAGGTGAGGAAAGCTCAGAGAAATTAAATAACTTGCCCAAAGTCACATAGCTGCTAAGTGGCTAAGGCAGAGTTTGAACCCAGGTTTGACTGGTCCCACAGTCCAGGTCACATGGACTGGCTGGAGTTCAGAGCATCAGGAAGGGTGTAAGTTACAAGGTGAGGAACACAGAGAACACGAAGAAACATGACTCATTCATTCACTCACTCAACTCACGCGCGCTGAGCACCTACACCAAGTGTAAGACAATCGCCTACGTGCTGGGGGTACCCTGACCTTCTGGAATTTCCTCTTGGCTGTCAGACACCGAAAATGTCAGAAACAAATCATACGGTATGTTAGATAATGCTAAGATCTGCGGAAGAAAATAAATCAGAGGAAAGGCATAGGGAGAGCTGGGGTGTGGGTTCCTATTTAAATAAGAAAGTCAAGAGAAGCCTCCTTGGGAAGGTGACAGTTGAGCACAGACTGAGAGAAGGGATGCCAGCCTGTGGCTACTCAGGAGAAGAACAGATAGAGGAAGCAGCTGTGGTGGACCCCAGGGTCCAGGTGCCTGGTGTTTCAGAAACAAGGGGGACAGTGGGTCAGAAGTGGGGAGATGGGGGAGGAGTGCAAGAAGGTGAGGTCTGAGAAGGAACAGGGGGCAGTGGCTTTTACTTTGAGTGCAGAAGTTGCTCTAAGTTCTGAACACACACACAAAGGTATAGTTTGAAACCTGGGTTTGAAAAGGACCGTTCTGGCCCCTCAGTGAGAAGAGGCTGGGCAGCTGGGCAGGAGGCGGGGGGGGGGAGGCCAGTGAGGTCACTCACATCACCTAGGCAGGGGGTGATCGGGGGTGGAGATGGGGACGCATGTCAGACTCAAATAGGTTGAAAGTAGCCGGTAGGATGGCCTGGTGGATCGGGTGTAAATGCGGGGGAAAAGGAGTGCCTATGGCTCCCGGGCTGGGCCCACACGGCTGAAGGCATGGAGCTGGCGTGGATGAGATGAAGAAAACCGCAAGAGAATCAGGGCTTTGGGGGCAGAGCGGGAGTCAGTTTTAGAGTTTGCCTCACCTCTTAGGATTCCCAATGAGCTCTTCCGGTCTGCTCTGCCCTTGCTCTGTGTACAGAGTCCGGGGACGCTTGTGAGCACCTGCTGTGTACCTGTGACAAGGCTGCCATAGAGTGCTTGGCTCAGTCCAATATCAACTCTTCCCTGAACCTTCTGGACACGTCCTTCTGTCTGGCTCAGCCTCCAGGTAGGAAGATCCAGGCCCTGCATCAGCAGTGGGGATGGCGATCTGCGGCAGGAGCTGGTATGGGACCAATCGTAGCTGTGTTTCTTCAGATGCCAAGTCCAGCACCTTCTAACATTCTCCAAAACCACTTCTCTCATGTGCTTTCTCTTCAGAGACAACCAGCAAGAAAGAGCTGCTGACACTTCTGCCCAGAGGTAAGGTCTTCTCGGGAAGCTGCTCTGTTTGGACCACAGGGCTCCGGCTACTGATGGGAGTGGGTGGATACACCTCCCCCACCTGGCCTGCCTCACCGAAGCTGGAGTGACCCATGGCACTGAAGACGTGCCCACATCCCCCAGCCGGAGACGCCATTACTTCTGATAAACTCGGTTCACACCCAAAGTCAAATGGCCCTTTCTACGTAGACAGGTGTGAATTTAATCCAGTTAGGACGGAGACCCCAGGTTCTTTCTCTTGGCCTATAGTTGTAAGCAGGACAGGGTCCAGTGCTCAGACGGGGCAAGGCCCCTCCCGGCTGGGGGCGCTCCTGGCCACTGAGGCCTCCCGGGAACAGACCGGCTGTCCCCCTCCTCTGCCCCCCAGAGCCTGCAGCACAAGGAGCTGCCTGGATCCAGGTGAGGCTCCTTGAAGGGGAAGCTGTTTTCTCGTGTGTCACTTTTCAGGACAGGGTAGCCTCCTTATAACTGTCTACTGAACTAAGCAAGGGATGATTCTGACTCTAAAACATGCATCTTATGAAAAAAGTGAGAGTTAAGTTTATGCCCATCATTCCTTGTCTGCCAAAGTTCCCACGATCTTTCAGTCCCAATACTGTGGGTACCCGGGGATGGGAAGTTCGAGGTGCACCTCAGCCAACCATCCCTCCTTTCCTGGGGCCGGGCTCTCTTTCTCAGAATTAGCACTGCAGTGTTTGTTAAAGAGGAAGCCGATATGGCTGTGGGTGCGTGGATGCAGGTGTGCCTGTGCCTATGAGTGTGTATGCGTGTGTGCACGTTTGGGTTTGTGTATGGGCACGTATAGGCTGACGTGTGTGTATGGCTGCGTGTGTGCGCGCGGGTTGTATCTCTATGGACGTTCTGAGTCAGCGCCCTTTTCTCTCTGCCATCTGCCTTCCCTTTGAACACAGGTCTTCTCAAATTGGGACCACACTCCATAGGCAAAAACCTTCGGAGTTTGCAGCCCTTTCATCGCCACAGCCTGTGTCCAATGGTGTCGCCTTCCCCACCAGAACCCAGCCCTGGCTGGAGTCCCTTCCGAGGGGGCGCCTTGCTGGGCACCCCTGTGTCCTGGGCGATGTGCGAGAGGCAGAGGTATACCGAGGCAGGACAAGCAGCCCTTCTGGGAACGTCTTTTACAGCCCCCTTATCCTCCTGCCTCATCCAGCCATCCAGCCTGTCCTTGGGGACCCCTGGCACTTGCATTCCTCACTCATTGCTCCTGGGGGCTCTTTTTGCAGTGGTTCCTGTGGAGCCCACGGACTCCAGCCTGACGGCCCTCTCAGGAGAAGATGAACACAGAGGGACCGGTATGGAACCCAAATATCCGTGGGTTGTTTTTTGTTTTTTGTAGAGTAGCTTTATTTTTTTTCTTTTTTTAAATTTTATTTTTTATTGGAGTATAGTCGATTTACAATGTTGTGTTAGTTTCAGGTGTACAGCAGTGATTCATTTATACATACACATATATCCCTTCTTTTTCAGATTCTTTTCCCATGTAGGTTATTACAGAGTATTGAGTAGAGGTCCCTGTGCTCTACAGTAGGTCCTTGTTGGTTATCTATTTTATATATAGCAGTGTATATTTGTTAATCCCAAACTCCTAATTTATCCCCCCTCCACGTTTCCCCTTTGGTAACCATAAGTTTGTTTTCAAAGTCTGTGAGTCTCTTTCTGCTGTGTTTTGATTGTGCCAGCTGCCTGCTTGCTGGGATTATCTCCCTTAAAATGCTCCCTGCCTGGGCTTACAATGGAACTGCCTCAGGAACATTCTAGAACCCCTCCTACTTCCTTTTGACTGCCAAATCTCTTCTCTACTTGCTCAGCTTTCTCCCACACTCCTAGTCCCACCTTAGGAGAATTGTCAGATAAAGGGCAGACCCCGCCCTCGACCATCTGACATTGAACTTCAGATCAACACCACACACTTTGTTAATATAAGTATGTCCCAGGATTTGCATGGGACTTACTTCTACTAAAAATGTATCTTTTGTTCATGCGAAATCCAAATTGAACTGGGCATCCTGGGTTTTTATTTGCTAAATCTGGCAACTCTTCACCTCAGGGAGATCGCGCTGCACACCCACCGCCCTACAAGTTTGTGTATTGCTCTTCTCTGCTGTTGCTGCTTCTGCCAGGTTAAAAGCAGAGGCTCATGTGTTCACCCCCAGCCATCCTCCATGTCCAAGGGCATGTCAGCCCCAACGGCTTCCGGACAGCCCATGCCTTGGAGACCGGTTCCAGAGAAAAGAGGAAATGGCACCAACACCAAACCAAAGCTCCACCATACGCCCTGCTTCCAACCGGCAGCCATTCCCAGCATGACTGGCAGTGGCCATGTCCCTTCTAAATTGAGGATAAGCTGCGGGCTTCACGGCCCCACCAGACAATCACAAAATAACCCCAAATTCGTACATTTTCCACTTTCTTCAGCCTGAACCATCGTCCCATCAGCCCTTTGTGGCACAACCCTGGAAAAGACTCAAAGTAAATAAGGTTCCTCAACGAGTCTAGAGTCCAACGGGAGGAAGTGAGGGGATACACTCTCATCCTCGCTCCCCAACACACACGCACTCACCCCCTCACATCCATGACCTAGGCAGTGACCACAAATGCCCTCAGAGGAGGGGGCAGCCTGAATGCGGGCTCAAAAATCAATCATGCAGGTGCAGGTGGGACAGTCTGTGAGGAAAAGGTCTGGGGTTTGTAGTTGTTCTCTCACCATTATGGGATGAAATTATGTTTTGGAGTCAGGCAGATTTGGGATGGATTCCCTGCTCTCCTAGTTTTCATCTGTGTGACTTGGGAAGCGTGGTTTAAGCTCTTTAAGCTTTAATTTCCCCTTTGCATAGAGCAGATATCAGCATTTTTTTATGTTAAGGGCCAGATAGTAAATATTTTAGACTTTGTGGACCAGAGGATCTCTGTCGCAACTACCCAACTCTGCCACTGCAGCAGAAAAGCAGCCATACACAATCTGTAACTGGATGGGTGTGGCTGTGGTGCCAATAAAACTTTATTTACAAAAATGGGCTGAGGGCAGGGCCATAGTTTACCAATCCCTGGAAAGGGATGATTATCCCGGTCCGTTGTGGTGACCGGAGAATGAGACAGAGCATGGGAAGATTCTGGGCCAGCATCTTCTTCCAAAAATTCTAGTGTGACTATAAAAAACCGCATACAATGTCAAATCACATGCAGGATACTGGACGACTTGCCTAAAATACATAATCTCATTTAATGCTCATACAACCCTATGAAATAATTGCTGTAACCTCCATATTGAGATGGTACACTGAGATGGAGAAAGAAGTTGTCCAAGCCCAGAGCTGGGTGGTAGGGCTGAGATTTGAGGCTTCCACTGTCTCCATCCTTACTTCTAGACCTAAACTCCCTCTTCAGCTGCCTTCCCCAACAAAGCCATCCCAACCAGGGGAAATAATGGCCCTTTCTCCCAAAGAGGTCATTTGCCGGTCTCTTTGCCTAAACACAGGACTGGCCCTTATCTGGCCTCTTGTCCACTGAATTGGGAAGTAATGGTGCAACAACATCCAGACATAGTCTGATCAGATTGCCATGGGCCTTCTCTCCTCTGCCCAGCTGAGGTGCTGAGCTGGGTTGGTAACTGAGATGTGGTGGTTTCCTTTCACAGTGGCAGCTGAGACCAGAGCTGCCCGACTGACCACTCTCTCCAGGACAAGTAAGCAGAGGGGACTACATAGGAGGACAGCAAGAAACCCAGTGGAGAAATGCCATCTAAATATTTGTGTTCAGTTCTGTTTTTGACATGGCCTGGAGGAAATATTATTATACCCATTCTGCAGATTATATCGGAAACTGGGGCTCTGGGAGGTTAAAAGCCCTGTCATTCAGCAGTGACTTGTAGACTGGTTTCTAACCCCAGACTTCATTCAGGCTTTCTGTTATACAATAGGGATTCACAGAGAACAACCTCCTACTTAAAAATATCTAGACCGAGATGTCATCAGAAGAATTAACATATTTACTTTGCTTGCGGTCATTAACAACCATGGCTCCTTTATTAATAAGTATAAATAACTGATAATAACGGTTTACTAATACTAAGAGTGACTAAGTAAACAAATGGATTCCTTGCTTAATACGCAGTGACATTGTTGAGGACCTCCGATGTGTCGGCGGGCTCCTAGGCCCCTAGGCACCTTCTCTGAGTTAATCCTCCCTCACCCTAGAGGCCCGTTGTTATCCCCATTTTACAGATGAAGGAGGAGCTCTGAGAGGTGGGTCACTTCCCCAGGGTAGTACATCTTAGTATTCGTTTAGTTCTGAACCTGTACCTTCTGCCTTTGACGAGAACCATCTGCCCCAGCTTAGAACTGCTGAGATTTTCTCTCTTTGCTGAGCATTCGTGTCCACATCAGGAAATTTCAAAGCCTGATTTTCACATAACATCATCATGAACTTGGTCTCTGGCACATTGAAGTTAAGGCAGTTCCTTCCTTTCCAAAGCATTTTGGAGGTCCCACCTCTAGCTCTCTGGGGTACAGCCACAAGGGAAACAGTAGCCTAGCATAGTGGTTAAGTGGGTCAGCTTTAGCCAGGTGGCCCAGGTTTGCACGTCACCATTTCCTGGCTCCGTGACCTTGAGCAACTGTGTCCCCTTTCTCCTTTGTGAATGAGGGTGAGCATAGTACTAACTCACGGGGTTGTTACTGAGTTAATGTAATCGAAACACTTAGTGCTGTCTATGGCATGTAGTAAGTCTTAGTCCATTCGGGCTGCTATAACAAAGTACCACAGACTGGGTGGCTTATAAACAACAGTCATTCATTTCTCATGGCTCTGGAAATCCAAGATCAAGATGCCAGCATCGTCAAGTTCTGGTAAGAGTCCACTTCTTAGTTATGGCTGGCTGGCTACCTTTTCACTGTGTCCTCACATGGGAGAAGGGATGAGGGAGCTCTCTGGGGTCCCTTTTATAAGGACACTAATCCCATCACAAGGGATCTACCCTCATGACTTAATCACCTCTCAAAGTCCCATCTCCAAATGCCATCCTGTTGGGGGTTAGGTTTCAATATATGAATCTGGGTGGGGGGTAAGCACACACTCATTCTATAGCATACTAGAAGCTTAGTGACTGTTAAACAGCAACAGATTCATTTCACAAAGAGACCAGGGCTCAGCAGCCTTCCTAGAGCCACACCACAAGCAACTGGAATCACACAGTTCTGCTGCCTTATTCTCCTCTGTCCAAAAAATGCGATTTTTATGTTTATTTATTTTCATTCAAATTCTGGAGAAGTCTGCTTTCTCAAAGTATTTCAACAGACTCACCTGCTTCTAGCATGACAAGTTGCGGCTGTGTTTACCAGCAAGCCTGAGTCTGGGGTTCTTTTAGCTCAGCAGGGACCCTGCCCTCACCAGCTCTCCTGGGAGGTGACCAGGGGCAGAGCAAGGAGCACGTTGCCTCCTGGGCTCAGTGGGATGGGAGCTGCCTCTGGAGACCAAGATGGGACAGACTGGAGTTAATGCTTACTCCCTCTCTCTTCTTCTAGGGGCAGAACCAGGCCAAGTCCAGGAAGACACACAAGATGCGAGGGCCACACCTTCTCCAGGTAAGCATGCTCAGCTTTGTATATGTTGTATATATTGTTGTCCCCCATATGTTTATGAAATCAAGTGTGTTCCCGAGAATGAAAGAAATCACTGAAGCCAATTTACTTTTATATCCCCCAGCCCAAAATTAGACAAGGGCAATTAGAAAACAGATCCGTTAGTAGGAAGATACTGAAACCTACCTGCTAAAGAGATGCATTTGGAAAAATATAGAAAACTGTACTTAGTTGTCTATTTAAATCCACATTATAAAAGTAGCTACTTTTAATATTTGAGGATGCTTTCTCCCAGTCTGCCCCAACCCACAGTGAGCACATCTGTGAACATAAATAAAATGAATTTGAGACCACTTGGCAGCCACGGTTTTGCAGTCTGCATTTTATCACTTCATGCAATGAGAAGATATTCCCCTGACATGAAATATTTTTCTGTAACATGATTTTTAGAGGCTGTGCAATGGTTTCTTGTATGGAATCCTATAAACTGTTTAACCAATTATTTCCAACATGTGTTATTATAAATAATAGATATGCACTTGCTTTATGCCCATCCACTTCTGATAAATGCCTAGAAGTTGAATTGCTGGATAAAAGGTATAATCATTTCGGGGCTCTCACTATGTTGCCAAATTGCCCTGGAGAAAAACTGAACCAATTTACATTCATATGCACATGCCAGGGGCCAAGTGTGCCTACTATTATTTGAAAACAAGTAAACAAAAAACCTGTACCCATTTTTAATAGAAAATAAAGGTAGCTCATTATTTTCCACTGTTCCCTCTGATTCACCTTTGTGGGGTTGGAGAGCTGGGCAGGATACTAAACCTAGGAGACTGAGGTTACGACAGAACTACTAAAGGGGTGCTTCTAACCCATCAGGACCAGTGTTGAGCAAGCTGAGACAGAAGCCCAGATGTATAAAGCAAACCAATATGGTGGATTTGGGGAAGGACTGCAAGTCAGAGGCCCAGGTCTTACCCAGAGCTCTGGGAGCTGAGCCGGGGTCAGCAGATGAGTGGGCACGGAGCCTACTGAGGCTCCCTTGGTCTGGACCACACTGGGCTGGAGATCTGGCCTGTGGGTTGGAGACCTCTCTGCCTCCAGCCAAAGGAGCTGGTGGGACTGAGGTCTGAGAGCAAAGGGAGATCCAGACAGTGCCAGGGAGCCTGCCTGGGGCAGGCAGAGCCACATCACGGGCAGCCTTGACGGCCATGGAGAGGACCTTGCACTTAATTCTGAGTATGAGGAGAAGCTGATGCAGTACTCTGAGGAGTTTGCATTACTGAGTACTGTGAGTTGGCTTAATCGCTCCACCATTCTTTTTATCTCTTCACCCGCGAGCATCATCATGGACCTTCGCTCGGCAGGCTCATGATGGTAAACACAGCACAAATATAGGCCTGAGAGGCTATGACTTTTCTCGCCCACGAGATGTCATCCAGGTGGCCTAGCTTGGGGTCCTGTCAGTTTTAATGTTATCGTAGGAAATTTGGAGATTCTCACGTAGTGTCCATGGATCCCCGAGGTTCTGCCCTGATGCCTGCAGACCCAGTTTGAAGACACTCTCCCGATGCTCTGTCTGCATTTGGCCCTGACTACATGTCCATCTGCAAACCTCTTCTTGAACCACTTTTCAGATATGGACCATAAAGGTATGTGTTTTCAGGGTCTGCAGAGATTGTTGCCACAGCTAAAGGTGCAACCATCGTCCCTGCTGGCATTAAATCTCTGGGGTTGGCTGTGTCATCCGTCAGAAGTGGTCCTGAGGAGACATCTGGAAAAGGTGAGCAGAAGCAGGCAGAGATGTCTGTCCTCTCCCGGCCTCGGGATCCTCTGGTGAAGTCGTTAACCAAGCCCCTTCGGCTACCGCATCGTACTGTGACTGTCCCACTTGGTGCCACTGGGAGGCGCCATCCCTCCTGCCGCTTGAGCACTTCGATTCTCAGAGCGGGCAGATGAGCCTGCAGCCATCAGCGGCTGGAGGCCGAGCCGGGGAAAGGAACCCCTGACCGAGGGCTCTTGTCGCTCTTACTGGCCCTGAAGGAAAGAGCTTGGCGTCATGCGCAGCGTGGTTTGCTGGAAAGAATGAAACACTTGGGTTTGGATGGTTCTCCTCCCTCGGGTGCCTTGGCAAAGGCCCCGCACCGGCAAGCAGCCACAGCCAGTGGGACACACAGGAGGACTCTGCTCATGCCTGGGCAAGCCCTCCACGCATGCAAGGCTCTCGAGAGGGGGGCTGGGGAGGAGCCCTGCGCAGGCCTCCGGCTTCGTGGTTCTTCCCCCTCTGAACTGAGGACAATGGAGTTTGCACAGTGGACTTTCGCCTAGCTTAGCACAAGTAGCAGGCTGAGGAGGGGAGAGGAGAAGGAGGCCAGAGAGAGAGACAGAGTCCTCGTTTCTCATCAGCCTGTGACAGGTTCACCTTCCTGCACCTGGGAAGCGGGGACAACACTTGGGTGATGCCACAGCTTGGAGAGATGCTCTTTTGTCTGACATCCCGGTGCCCGGAGGAATTTGAATCTTATGGCTGTTACTGTGGGCAGGAAGGAAAAGGCGAGCCAAGGGACGCTCTGGACAGGTACGGCCGGGTGAGGATGGCGGGTGGGCGGTGTTGATGCTGCAGTGAGAGATGACAGCCTTCCTCGATGTCGGGCATCGCTTCGGGCTCACAGAGAGCTCGCCGAGTACCATTATTTCACTCAGGAGGGCTTGTTGCCATTATGGTCCCATTTTCCTGATGAGCAGTTGAGGCTCTGAGGCTGACCTGTCTGAGGTCCTTCAGCCACAAAGGGGCAGAGCCAGGCAGACCCAGATCTTTCGATTTGGTCTAGAGCTCCACCACGAATACTGCCCAGCTGCTCTAAGAGGGTCAATCTGCAAAGACACTTCAGAAGACCCCAAATCTGCCTATTTTGCAATGAGCAGCATGTCGAATTGGGGTCCCTAGTTGATTTGCTCTGCAGGATGACACACTGAAATGAGCTTCTCAACAACTTTTAAGCATAATTGTCAAATTTTTTATCTACTGTTCTTGGAAGAATTTTCACTGACCTCATGCATTCATCTATTTATTCCTTCATTTATATAGGCATGCAGCCTACATTTATTGTGCTTTTGCTCTGTGTTGGGCACTGTGCTAGGTGCTGGAGACATAAAAAGGATTAAACCTAAACAAACTGCCTCTGCCCCATGGGACGTTGCTGAGTGAGAGACATGGACAATTCAACAAAGTACCACCTGCTGTAACAAATGCAGTGGGGACACCGAGGAAACGATGGGGAGCTCAGCCTGGAGATGAGTTAGAGGAAGATGCTGAGCAGAACTGATCAGGCTGAAAGACTAAACTCACCCAGTTCACAGCCAGTTAGAGCTCTAGTGAAATTGTGTATGCCCGCCTCCAGTGCTGGGCTTGCCAGGGGAGAATCAACAACTATAGCCAAGAGTGAAGAAGACGAATCTTACTGTAGTTACCACAAAGGGATACAGTACTGGCAGGAACATGGAACATGTCCACTGCAGGTCACGTGGTGTCTGCGTGGCTGTATGACTCACGCACCCACCTACCTCCACAATAGCTCTCCCGTCTCCACTGCACGGTCATCCCGCCCCATCATGCAACCTTTGCGGGGTATTCCGGGAAATCAGGGGCTCTGCTGCCCAGGCAGACTTCAGAAAATTTACCTCCCACCAGGTGATAGTGAAGAAGGTTTTATTCTAGCAAAGTGTATACCACACTGTGGAATCACTGTGTTTTCATCGTGGGGCTTGACAACATGCCCTCTACTCTCCAAGACAGAGAGCCATTTAAGGATTGTTCCTGAGTCCACAGCACTCAGTGAGATAAGGCAAAATAGAAATTTGGGTAGCAGTAGTCACTGTGTTCTGCTGAACCCTATGGAAAGAATATGGGGGCGCTGTTGAAGAGGTTTCCTGACTACTGACCATATTTCACAAAAAATATGAGATTTGACCAGGCAGCAAGTGAGCTATGATACAGCTTCCTTGACATCCATTAGGAAGAAATGGAAAAATGGAAAGCCATAGCCTTGAACAAGGAAGGGTTAGTCAAAATGATATTATTTTCTGCAACGGTGTCTTTTCCAAACCATGCATACTTTATATCCTGAGACATTTGAATGGTTTTCAAGGGTACTTGGATCATATATGATTTCTGATTGACTGACTTTAGATTTTAACTATTATATTAACTCTCCACCGCCACCCACCCCAGCCGAATGCCACACAAGACAGTGGCTCGGCTGTCGTAACAGCAGAATGGGGGCTGCAGTTCCCATCCCACACAGGCTAATGTGATGTGAGAGGTGGATTGTTCCTCCTCCGACTGCCGGCACCATGCAATGGGTGGTGAAGCCCATACGTGGTCAAGCACAAGCACTACCGAAAAGCCACAAGTCTGCCTGACCCCGCCTCCGGCTGTGGCCTCCAGGACCGAGTGAGAGTGGTTAAAGGACAGGGGAGAGTTGAAGAGAGAGGATTTAAGGAGCAATTGTAGCCTCCTATGGGTTGGAGCCATCACAAGTTCCCTCGGGGTGTCCACCAGCTGGGGGCACACTGTGAGGCTTTATCAGGCCAGATGGGTGGGTCTAAACAGCAAGAACATGACCCATTCTCATCTATTTCCTGAGGTCTTGCTCTTTGCTGGACACCTTCCTAGATGCAGTTCTTTATTTACGTTCGAGATAGTTACTCTGTTCTCTTTTAAGGCTATGGACAAAGGGGGTACCTTATGGATGTGAGATTAACTGTTCTATTATGTAAAAGGTTGGAGGCAGTGGGTTATTTTTAGCCCATATGGTATGCTAGAAGTGGTACCCCTTCCTCAAGACTCTTTATTTCCATCTTTTGGAAAATTACTGTAATAAATATGCAAGTCACCCATCTTTTCAGTCAACAGAGTCACAATAAAAACACCAAGTTTTTTAAAGAAGAGTAAGATACATCCGGTGTGATGGACACTGCCTTAGATGTGGCATCCTTGTGCAGTCCACAACCTGAACAACCATACATGGTGGCCCTTGGGATGTATATAAATGAGTCCAGTGGCACTGGAAAGGAGGCACTGGCTTCTCTCATCAATATAGGGAGTATGGGATAAGCAGGCCTGGAGGGAGTTCTGGGGACAGCTGGGGGCTCTAGGCAGTAAGCGATTTTCCTTGCTCTTAGGTGCTGTTTGTCCCATCACTGCTGCCTGGAGCAGGTGAGAAGGCTGGACTGCCTGCTCGAGAGGCTTCCTCGATCACCAGTGGTATGCGTGGATGGTACCCCCAAATGTAAGTGCTGTGAGCCAGCATAGTGGGTTGTTCTTTCATTCAAGTCAGCATCAGGACCACAGCTCATCTTATAGATGCTTTCCCAAGCACTTGTTCATCTCTAATGTGATTTAAAACGTTTCTTAACTTTGAGGCACACATTAGTACTCCTATTCCACTGAGGAGGAGACTCAAGTTCAAGAGGCTAAGTCAGCTGACAAAAGTCACAGAGCCAGTAAGAGCAGACGGGGAATAATGTAAATCACTCATGCTTACTGAGTGCTTCCCATGTGCTCTTCTGAGTTTTTCATGTGTATTAACAGAGTTCATCCTCACACCAATCCTATGAGGTAGCACCACGAGACTTCCCATTTTACAGAGGCGGCGACTGAGGTCCAAGACCACACAGGTAGAAGGAGGTGATAGAACTGGGGCTGGAACTGTGAAACCATAGAGCCTCAGGCCCAGAACCGAGTCTTCACTGAGCCAGTGGGTCTCTTTTCCTGAGAAGCAGAACACTTTTCCCAAGTGAGGTCCCCTGAGGAAACCCATAAAAAGGGGAGTGTCTCTGGCTGAAGGAAGAGGTGGGCCTGCATCTCCACTCCTCCCAGGTGTGGAAGCCGGAGGTGCCTCCATGGCCATTCAGGGCCTGGGGGGGGGGGAGGGGGGCTATTTGGAAACAGTCCCACCCTTAGGAGCCTCACTCTGTTGGGCTTGCTTTACAACTGGCTTCATCTCCATTCTCTGGCTGCACCTCCCCATGTACATCAGTGGATGTATTTCCCTTACCCTTTGCAGTTTAAAAGGAAATGGTCCCTATAGCATTTCTCGAGAGCCCTGAGAGGGTTTGTCTCACCCTCACTTTTTATCTGGGGAAGGCCCAGGCTGAGGCTTCAGTGCCACCTCCTCCCTCAGCCTCCAGGAATCCCAGCCTTGGAGGATCGTGTGTGCCTCTCACCTCCCAGGAGGGAGCTCTGTGCTTTACATGTCACTTACTCATTCATTCATTCACCCAATTATCTGCTTATCCAAAAAACCTCCATCGGGACCTAGGAACACAGCGAACAGACATGATCCCTGCCTCAAAATGCTCACAGCCCGCAAGGAAGAGAGACAAGCAAGGGACTCTTCTAGTATCATTAGTATTGCTACGAGGTGGTACAGGTGCCCAGGACCGTGGTGAAAGGGGTTTTGAGCCTGCGGAATACGGCAGCCAGGATGGGAGAATTTGGGAGAAGTTAGAAGGGCAGTGAAGGAGGTTTTCCAAGAGGTTAACAGGTTCCCAGGTGGCCGTGCTGGGTGTGGGTGTTCCAAGAAAAAGGAAGAGAAAGACTGTGGCCTTTGGGGAACTCCTGGCAGTTTGGGAACGACACGTGGTTCTGTATTTCGGGAAGAGATAGTGGGAGTCGCGGGATCATGGTGATGCAAGGTGAGGCTGGCGAGACAGGTACCAGATCACGAATCCAAGGCTGAAACATTTACATTTTGTCCTCTAGGGGGTGAGAAGCCAGGGGTGGGTTTAGAACCCATGAGTAACAGGACCAGATGATCGTTGTCTGTGATGCAATCACGCCTTGAGGTCCCACCTGCTCAGCTAAAGGCGCCTTCATCCCTCTGGTCTCACTGAATCCAGGAAGGTTGTGTGTTGTTCAAACTCCTACAGGGCTTCCGTGAACTGGTTCCGACCCTCTGTGAGCCCTGAGCACCGTGTCCTGTAGCAGCTGCAGGTGTCGGGTTGTGAGAAATGAGGGCAACTCGGAGCCTGCTCCGGGCCACCCCACATAAGGCACAGGGGCCCAAGTGCAGAGCTGCTCTGGGGAACAGGCTCAGGTCTGGGTCCGCTCTGCTCTTCCATGTCTCCTCTTTCTGCCTCCTGCTGTGGAGATGCAACGAGTATGTCTGGGGCTGATGTGAAGGCCAGGGTAGGAGATGTGGAGGGTCAGTGTGATGAGAAAAGTTCTGGTTGACGAATACTTCGCGGTAGGATCAGACAAAAAAACATTAAACGGACCAAATACGTCTTTGAAAGCCACAGACAAGGATAACGTTTGCAGAATGCTTGCCTATGTCCGAGCACCTTCAAATACATTATTTCCTTTGAACCACACGCGTGTTCTGCATGCCAACCCACACTACATGCAATTGAAACTTGCAAGAAATAAAGTAGGGTCACCAGACGGAGCAAATAAAAATACAGATAGCAAAAATACATGTATTTCTGCTGTGATAGTAAGAACCATAGGGTGGGATTCGATGGGAACCCACAGGAAAGACACTCCCTTTAGCCAGAGGGGCTGGAGGAAGCTTTCTGGACGTGGTGGGGGGATGCCGGGTGGATTCCTGACAGACGAGTATGCGCTAACCAGGAGGAGAAAGTTAAGAATATTCCCAGTAGAGGACTCAGTGGACGCAGGACCAAGAGGTTCAGGACGGAGCCGGGGAGTACAGGGCGGAAGGGGCAAGCACCCTGCGGTGTCTCAGGTCTGCTCCCCTGTTCTTGCCCCCTAAGGTGTAGGCCAGAGCCTGTGTGAGAAGCTGCTTTGTGTCTGTGACCAGACAGCGGCTGAATGCCTGGCCTCTGCCTTCTACAACCAAAGCCTCAAGTCACCTGGCAGACAGGAGTGCCAGGGCCACCGGCCATCCTGCGAGGACGGCAGGATTTCAGCTTCGTCCCTTGGCTCCAGCTCTGAGGAGAGCAGTGTGGAGGCCCCGCCGCCCAGGGAGGGCCTGAGAAGAACCAGAAGATTCCTGGGGAAGTCCCTTGGTCTCCTGGGGACTAGGCCACAGCGTGGCCCCAGATAGAGTCCCAGGGAAAATGACCAATCACACCCTATCGTTCTGTCCCTCCTGCTACTGTAACCTCTCTGGGCCCATCTCCATCCTCTCTGTCCTCAGCAGAGGCTCAAAGCGGGGAGAGGCAGGAAGACCCTTGCACATGTGCATTGTGATGTTTGTCAGCTCACATCCAAATGTGTCTTTGGAGAAGGCAAACGAGGGGGCGGTTATATGTTTCCTGGAGTGCACTGTAGGGGCTCAATAAATATTCCCATCAACATTTCTTTGTCTGGTTTGGTTTTGAAGATGCTGGTACATGAATAGATGGCAAAGGTGAGATGGCAGAGGAATGGAGGGGGAAAAGATATCTTCACTCCCCAATCACTGAAATCACAATCTTCTATTCAAAAAATACAGAAGGGAGTACGTTTAATCAATCTTATGAGATCACCTATGGGTCACCAATAACCCACCAAAGACATATGCCAAGGACTGAGATGACAGCTCTTCCGGTATGTTATTAAGAGAATGGCCTCAGCCACCTCCATGAAGAATCACTGATAACCCTGTCTTGGGTCTGGCAATATTAAATTGATTAAAAAAAAAATGATAGGGTTTATCCCAGTGGCTGGAAGTTTGGGGGATGCCAATGCCCACTCAGACACAGACAAATATAATAGTAATTACAAAAAAATGGAAATTATATCCCTCCATCCATCCACCCACCCACCCATCTGATAGTCATTGAGATTTTACCGTGCATCAGGAAAAAGGCAATGTGCTTCCAGAATCCCCTTCAGTATTCCACAAGGATCTGAACTATAGTTCACACCACATCCTTGGTTCTCTATTCCCATAAATCACGTGTCCTGCAGTGAGACAATACAGGGTCCCTGCCTGCTCCGCAGACAGGCGGGAAAGCAGAGCCTCTGAAGAGTTCGTGTTCGTGACCTTCTCATGGTGTGGCACTATCCTGACGTTAAAGAATTGAAAACCTTAAGAAACCAAAAGGTCGTGGTGCCAAGCCAGCAGCTGGTACCTTCCCTACCTTCCAGGGAAATCACCTGATGAGCACCTTTTGATGAATCCAACACATTGGAATTTTTTTTTTTTTTTTTGCGTGGCACGTGGGATCTTAGTTTCCCAACCAGGGATCTAACCCGTACCCCCCGTAGTGGGAGCGTGGAGTCTTAACCACTGGACTGCCAGAGAAGTCCCTCACGTTGGAATCTTTTGAATAATGTGACCTTTTAAGTAACAGCTGAAATTTGGGTCCTCCCAGAAGCGGACCCTTACACAAGGACTTGAGAGCAAGTGGTTTATTTGGAAAGTGCAGGAAACGCTGAGGGGAGAACAAAGGGATAAGACGGCAGAGGAACGGTAGCCAGTGAAAGCTGCGTTACCAAGGCAGTTGCCCCTGGAAGTAGAATATGCATAGTGCACGTGCGCGCGCGCGCACGCACGCACGCACGCACACACACACGCACACACACACACACACACACACACCGCTGGGAGAGGAGACGGACCTTCTATCAGATCAGTCTTTACTCCCATGGAGAGCGATGTCTCCTGCCTGCTGCACCTGGGGGCCGGAGGCTCTGGAGGCTGAGGAAGCCTTTAGGCCAAGAAATGCAGGTGAGAGTGTCTGGCAATCAGCCCGCAGGCACCACAGCGGTCAAGGCGAGGCGGGCCACCAATGGCACTCCCTTCCTTTAACCCAGCAGGTGTGTGCTAAGTGTCCGCTTCCCGTGGCCGGCACCATGCTAGGCTGCCCACACGTATGGTAACTGCCTGCCTTCTCCACACCTTCACCTGAGGCAGCTGAATGTTGCTGAAGGACAAAAGCAACTGAGCTGACCCACTTCACTTGAAGCTCATGACCACAAAAACCTCAAATGGACACTCAACCTTTTCTTAGTAAGCTGAGTTTTCTGTTGTCCAAGACAACTGTTTGGTCCCCTTCCTCCTCTCCTCAAACCTTCCACACCTCCCCTTGCTCTCAGCTGAGAACTGTCCAGAGCGGAAGGGTCTGAGATTTTACCTTATTTGTAACTTAACAAGTTGGTCTGCATTTCATGGATGCTGGCAGAAGATACGAGATGCTTGGGTCAGAGACAAAGGACTTTATTACTTACAGTAATGGCAGTAGCCTGAGTATGATAATTTATGCTGGTTCCTCAAGCCCTGGGCCAATGCAAAGAGAGTCAGGTAACACCTACACACAGGGTGGGTTTCATTACACAGGGAACCTAAAATATTTATTGGCCACAAGCCTGCCTTTTACCCCAGGAAAGAGATCATCTGTATTATACAGGACAAGAAGCATGTCTGTCCTTGGCTCCAAAGGGAGATGCCATCTCTGTGTTCCAAGTCTGTAGGATGTACTATATCCTTAAAAAAGATAATCCAGAATAAAGATAGTGTCTCTGTTCACAAGACATGCAGAAATGCAAGGCACATGGCTACAATGACCTCACCTAATACTCCATTGAGAAAACTGAAGTTTTCCCGTGGGAATGTCCTGATCTTCTTGCCACCAAAGCTACAAAATTACCGGCGGTCTTTGTCTTCCTTCTTGTTTCAATGAAAAAAGTGTTCCTTATCCATGTCAAAGGTCAACCCCTCCACCTACACTCTGGCTACAGTACCCCCCTATTGCCTTTTCCAGGGCTTGATTCCTGCAAACATTTCCTTTTTATTCTCTATCAATTCATCCCTCTCTTCTTCTGTATCATTCTAATCAGCATGCAAACATGCCCTAAAGTCTCCCATCTTTAAAAAATCTCTCCCTTGACTCATTAAACTAAGATGGTGGAAACATGAAATTATAAATCTGATGCTCCTAGATTTAATCTTGTCCTTAAATACCACACTAGGTGGTGCTATATTGGGTATCTTTTGCCTGAACTTCACATCATCCAACCCTACCTTACTCCAGATCCTGCCGTGATAACCAGTTCCACACAGGCTTCCACCTGCCTCGTGCACGGGGGTGGAATCTGACAATGCCTGCCTTCTGCACTTCTACGCTCCGTGCATGGGACACAGGACTTCTCTGAGAAAAAGGCATGGCACGCCTTGGGAAACTGCCCAGCACTCAAGCACACACAATCCAAAAACGCGGGGGAGTTAATGTCAACAGGGCCACCCTTGACCATGAAGAACAGAAGCGGAGCATACATGCTTCCCCAGCTTTCATCAGCTGGGCGGACAGTTCTGAGATTATTTCATGAGACTCCTCAGGCTGTCCAGCAGGATGGATCTCCAGTCACCTATGGTGCTGGTAATTCATAAATAAACCCTCTTAATGAGCTTTTGCTCACTGCACTTCACTGGTCCGGTCCCTCGTTGGGGTTCCCTGGAATCACTTCCCAGAGCAATTCCTACATGTAAGCCTTTGTCTTCGGCTCTGCTTTGGGAGAACCTAGGCTAAGTTACTGGCTTCCCAAGTCTGCCTGTGACTCGAAGTGTTAAGTACAAGGCGAATGTAATATAGCAAAACTAAGAGGCAGGGCTTGATGCTACACACTGGCTCTGCTTTTTCATTCATGTGAACTTATGTATCAGATGAGAGAACGGGACGCAACCAATTACAGCTGAAAAGAAAACGCATGAGAGAGTCTTATCACACAGGTTGCTCATTTTACACCTCCAGAAAACAGGTTCAGAAAACTGGAGTGACTGGCCTAAGACTGCAGAACTGAGACAGCTGCCCAGCTTGCTTAAGACGCTATGCATGGTGAACTCAAGGATTATTAATGACAAACACTGACTCAGTGTCTAGTCTGTGCCATGTAAGCATGACACGAGGAACCTCTTCTAAGTGATTCATTTACCCCTCAACAGATGACCTCTGAGGGCAGAACATACTCGCCTCATTTTACATACTTCAAAGCTCAAAGTTCCGGCACTGCCTAAGGCTACTGGGCCAGGAGTGGCAGGGTGGGGTCTGAAGCCAGAGCCCGTGCTCCTCGTTGCTTTGCCAAACTGCGAAAGGAAGTCCCTGAAGCCCATCTGGCTATGGTGGGCTTTCCTGCCAGCGACAGGAGAGCAGACCAGGTGGCAGAGGGTACTAGAGAGGAGCTATCGTTTTAGAGAGAGGCTTCATGTAACTTACACAGCAAAGGGGTAGGGTTGAAAATACAAACAGTAAGACTAATGCAGGGGTGGAAACCGTGCTTTCACAGGCACACACTAAGAGCTTAATGTTAGCTGTATCTTACCACGACTGCAGTTATGGTTCTGATCCTTCCAATGTATGTGAGGATGAATCCATTTGGCAGCTTGGTTTTCACTGAAGTTCTTCATTTTTAACTAAAGCAAAATAGTGAATACGTTTAATTTAATAAATGCAATGGCTATTACAAAAATGTACGTATACAGAAGTAATTTGATTTTGTTTTATTGCTTACATATGAATTGCACAGTGAATTGTTACATTTCAAAAAACTCAATTCATTACATTTAGTACATATATTGGCATGAATAAAACAAATCAGTACCATTTTCAGAAAGGAAGAAAAGAGATATTGAGAGGAAGGGGAAGTTAACTGCTGGTTAAGTACAGTATTATGATTCTAAAAGATAATGAGTTCAGAAGTATTAAGGAAGTGTGTGTGTGTTTAGGTTAACTCCAATGACTATATAAGCAAAGACCACACAAGTATAGGAGGAACATTTCAATGTTAACTATTCAATGTCAAGGAAAAAAAATGAATGATATAAGCAACAGTATATAGCAAAAAGAGAATGATTAACAGTTTTTATTAAGAGTTTTAAATATCTACAAAAATATAGCAATACAGTGAACTTCAACACATCCTACACTTTCAGTATCCAAACTGGCTGTAATACAGTAGGCATACCTATGACGTGCAGGATCTCCTGCAATCTCCTGGAAGGGACAGAAAGCCTAAGAAAAGACCCCTCATTTCTTGGGAATCGTTGTTAACAAGACCAGTTCAGTAATCTAGGATATACAGAAGTCTACTGTGATTTAAAAACAACTACAACAGGAAAAAAAT